CTACACAGTAAAAGATGTTTTAAAAGAAATACAACTATAAAGCTAAACTTTTAAGATTTAATAAGCTATCCCAAAGGCCATATACGGCTACATCAGTAGCTCTAACTCTTGGGCCACATTTTTTCACTGGTGTCGTGATTCTATGATTAGCTTCCATCAACCTAATTTTTCTCATTATCTGTCAACTAGAAAACAGGCGTTTGCTTCCACCTGGGGGACAAAGTTCTCTAATTAAGAACCAACCAAAATTAGTACCATACAGATCTTCTTCAAAGTAGGTGAATTAGAACTTATACCCCTAAATATAAAAATCTAACTGTTCAGAAAAGTGAGTTGATTCAGTCGAAGACATATCATCCAACTGAAATGAAAACATTAACGTAGTCAGCAAGTACAGCTATCTCATCTACAATCTTCATCTCTCAGAATACAATACCACGGAATGTTTTTATGCTAGGCTGTCATATTTCAAAGAAAAAGAAAAGTTCATATGGCACAAAAGTTACAATACATCTACAACACTCAACAGAATACCTAGAAAGGTAAGCATTCTAGTGACCACGAGGTTAAATTTAGATATAGATATATATATATATCTATACATACATAAAGAAAAAAAAAAGACGTACAAGAATATAATACCAAGATGAATTTCAGCCGGCAAACAAAAAGGAAGCCAACGCTCTAGTTCTTCTGCCCAAGAAAACCGTAAAACAGCTGGGCAAACAACAAGTATTGAGCCTTCTTCATCCATTAAGCAGCTAGCAATTGCAATAGCCTGAAGACAGATTAAGCATACAGAGTTTAATCCACCTTTTCGACCAGCAGAGATGGTACATGTACAAGATGCTGCCTTGCATGATATCAAAATTCTAAAATATATGCATGAGGCTCGTTCCAATGTTCAAGCAGAAATTTCAACAAATAGATATATGTAATTGAAAAAATGAAATGGCAAAAGCACAACCAACTAGAACCAATTTACAAACTTGACAAAACTGTAGATGAGTAGCAGATAAGTTCATTTATATATAATTTAGCTACCTGCAGTGTTTTCCCAAGACCCATTTCATCAGCTATCAAGCATCGGCCACCCCTCTGCAAGCCAAATCTTACACCATCAAGCTGGAAAGGTAAGAGTCTCTTCAGTAACCGATCGGGTAACTTCTTCATTAATTCATCGACCCTCTCATCTGACAGATGCTCTGGCCTGCATGGCATCCATCGTCCTAAAATAAATGAATGCGAGAGCCTCTCAACCACATTAAAAGTTGTCCATGGTATCTCTTCAACATCAATGTCCTTGGAGCTCTTTAAACATTTTAAAACAGGACAATAATCCCTCAGCTTATAAACACAAGCCTTTCCTCCGCCAATAATTTGTGTGTAGTGAGAATGTGTGACCTGAGAGAATAACAGATGGCCGTCACATTTATAAAGTTACTAGAGCTCATTTGGTCAAAGACGTGATGTAACTCGAAACTCAGATATGGTCAGAAAGGGGGCGAGAGAGAGAAAGACGCCACTCATAATCCAAATACGGTCAGATGGGCAAATTTCGAATTTTCAAATTCGATGCACTGCGATCCTTAAAATTGTACAAGTAGCAATCCCGAAGTTGGTGATATTTTCATATAAAAATGAAGTTGTACGAAAATAAAGTCGTAAAAAGCATTGTACGAATGAAGAGAAGAACAAAGATAAAAATAGCGTTCATCCTCTCTAAATGTACAGAGGAACTGGGTAAAACCGGATAGTCCATGTGATCAGGAAAACCAAAAGATATCCCAGCGAGCTCCAAAAAACGCATATGGAAGTAAAAGTAAAGCTCGCATTATAAATCACAAGTTCCTTCGTTCAAGACAAATTAAAGTGATAAACGCCTGCAAATCCAAACGGTATCACTTCCTCCCTTTTTTTCATTAATTTCTTATATTCGATATGCGCAAAACAAAGACGGCAATAAGAAAATCCCAGAAACTCATACATTAGATAACCAGTCGCTCAATTTCCTGAAGCAATTCTCCTCTCCCGGGTAACAGAATCCTTCTACAACTTCCGGCGTGATCGAGAACGAGTCGGTGGAGCAAATTTCCAACCTTACTCGAAACCTCTCGGGTAAAAGGGTATCGTCGTCGGTTAAGCCTTTCGATGATTGAACTGCACTGGTAACAGTCAGTTCAGTGGAAAGCTTTCGACATTTGAAGAGCTTCCACGGGTCCTGGGGTTGTAGTTGGCCGTTAGAAGATTCGATTAGAGCTTTGCGTTTGGCTATGGCCGCTAAACGGTTCGCTTCAGCTCGCTTTCGTTGCTCTTCTGTGATATCCATGTAGTGAGAGTGAGACTGATTTGATTTAGGGTTCTACGAAGCCGATGATGAAATGAAGAATTCGAATTCCAGTGACAGATTGCGCGGGCAAAGACTTACGCACGCGCGTTGCTTGGCGCCTGTTGTTACGCGCCTCCCGGTATTATTTTCCATTTTTCCAAAAACTATTTCGACGTTCAATCCGGAAAAAGCAACTTTTTTTTTAAGATTTGTAATTTTAGTAAAAAAAAATGTGGGGGCGTTGAATTTAAACCTCCAACTTCCTTGATATAAGTTGTATGCCCTTGCTGTTGAGATAAACTTATGATAATATATTAAAATAGTCATATGTTACCATTATTACTATAATTTGTTAAAATGTTACAGCTCAATAATAGAGTTTATTAAGTCTTTACATTATATGCTAGATTGATATGGAGTTGCGACAACATACCATCCATGACACATTTCCTACATTTTTGTGATCATTTCTAATTGTCTGATTTTTTATTGACTATCCCTTAAGATGACTGGATGATATCTAATAATGCAGTGTCATTTTAGCTTCATGCTCTCAAGCTTCATTGATCCCTCGAACATGTTTGTGAAGGACTTAGTAAACTTCTTTATTATATGGTCGTGGTTAACAATTTTTTAACCTCACTGAGATCCAAACTGCCATACATTTTAGTATTTTTCTCACTTAAAGCTTGGTAATTTCGATTGACTTATATTCCTCATTTTGGACAGGCTGCTACTCATCTAGTTTAGATGTATGGCTTTTTAGTCTCGATTTGATTGTGCTACGGCATCTATAATTTAATGAATGACTTTCCAATCCTATTTAGGGTAAACAATCAGATATCTAGATTTATTTTATTCTTACTCGTGATAGTTAGCCTCAGATCCAAAAAGATAAAGATAACGAACAAACAAACGAGTGAGAAAGAGAACGAGTCCAAAAATGTTAGATTCCCCTTTGCAATCTTTTAAAAAACTTGAAGGCGACAAAGAAGTGCAAGCAATTCTCAGCCACCAAAAAATGGAAGAGTCTATTCCAAGCTCGGCCGTCTCTAGGCACTTCCTACATAATTTCAATGCCTCTGTTTGCTTAGACAGTGAAACAATTCCTTCAAATGGAACAATGGCTGCCCCACATGTTCTACTCCTCTCCAACTTCTTACTTCCCCACCAAATTTTTCTATGCATAAAAAACAATGTTTCTTAACAAATGCTAACAAATTTCTAACACAATTTTATTTCACTGATCTTCTTTCATGTGTCCGAGTTTAAAGAGTACAAGTGTCTTTTAAGATAGAATAGGTACAAAATATATAGACTTCTCGTTTTAAATAATATTAAAGCAAATCGGATTTTGGTACCAAATTTAGTTGAGAGGAAGAGTGTGTAAAAAAAAACTTAGAAGAAAGACATATTTTAATTAAATACTAACTTGTGACGAGTAGAATAGTTATGACTCTTCTACAATATGTGGTTATGTTTTGAATTTGAAAGCGAAAGATCAACAACATTCATGGAATGAATGAAAATGCAACTCATGGACTATCTTCGATGGATATAAAACATAATGGATCTTACTGATGGTGTCAATAACTCTATCGTCCCAAATTAGTATTATTTTTGTCGTTCATTTGAAATTTTCCTTTCGATTGCATTAGTTTTAGGGTATTGCAAATTAAATTCGGAGGTGGAGATTCAAAACTACGAGATAGTTGAACTCTATTATTATTGCATTTTTTAATTTCCTAAGGGTAATGTCTTGAGTGGTTCTATTTCAACAAAGGCAGTAATGGAAATCATAACAAATGGAAAAGAAACAACAATCCAGGACCTGCCAGTCGATTAACCTAAAAATTTAAACTGATGGGTTGAATACATTTAATTCATATATTGGATATCTAACAGAAGCCTTAAAAACTTATGTTCGGATTGACCACAAAATTATGTTCGAATTGGATAAATCTAAAAGAGATTATATGACATTATTCTACTACGTCATTGAACATAAATCTTATACTGTCCGATTCTACATTCAATATCGGACCGAGTTATTAAAACCGGGAACCAAACATCTCGTAAACGAGACTAAATTGTGTGCTGGTTGGGCCACGACGAGGGTGAGCATTGATTTGTGGCCTCAGAAATTTTGTGTTCCCTATGACGATTGTTTCTTCTCCTTTGGCTCTCCATCGCAATCATCCAATCTGTTGAGTTTTCCATTTGTCGGCAGAAGAAAATCGAAGAAGAGCCCTACAACTTGCAATTTGTTGTATTTTCAAATCTCATGGCCCAACACATTTAATTGGAACTTCGCATCACAACGTGCAATTCTGATGGGGTCGATGGTTAGTTTTTATCCACCATTCATTAGAAAACGACTCTTCTCTTTCGTATCTGTTAATTCTTAAATGTTTCTCGAGAAAATTTTTACGGTTCGAGAATAGCTTAGCGATTAGCATCCATCTTAGCTTCTTATTACTGTTCGATGTTGATCAATCAGTACTAAATATTGTTCTTTGTATTATTATAAGTATAATTTCAGGAGGGCATTCTAAACATCTAGATGGGTTGGATTGGATATCTTTCCATTTAGAATTATAAAAATATGCAAGAATTACAGTTTAATATGTCAATCTAAATGGCATATCTCTGCTGAATTAGATGCATGCTTAGAGGATCAAGATTTTTCATATGAAATAGCTCTTCAAGATGTTGCTTTGTTTGATGAATAGAAGCAAAATCGTTGCCGATAATATTTTTCTTTTCTATTTTGTTGTTAAAACTTTCAGTGGCCAAGGATGGAATATACGTAGAAATGCACGTTAATTTGATTGAGAGGAAAAGGCACCACATTGCATCTTGTCCGACATAGATTACATTTGAAAACTAATAATAAATTCATGATAGACACATAATCTAAATTTAATTAGGGGAGAAATTATATATCGGATGAAAAAGAGAAAGAGAAGAAAATTGCACCTGGATGGTAAGAAAATGTAGAGAAAAGTCAACTCATTCTAAATTTCGAGATAGTCTTAGAGTTGACCGAACGCTAGCTATTAGATAAAGAAGAGTATAAAAAAAAATTATGGATATAATATTGATATATATTACTCTCATCATTGTCAGTTTATATCATCATTGTATGAAGAAAATTCATAATGTGAACGGAAGAGAACTAGATAATACTTGTGTCTCGAGCTAAGTTAGCCAACTAAAGAGATGCTCAAGAGCATGGACCAAAAATGATGAGACAACACATCTTGGGAGGTAGATTGAAGATTATGACAAATCTTCACACATTTATTTTGAGACAATTGAATTGGTCCCTTTTGGGGGTTGGAATTAAGACTAATCTTGTTTGATTGTTTATTTCATGTGATGACTATGCTTTCGGTCAACGAGAAGATGAAAGTGCGCAAGTTATTAGTTAATCGTGTCGACGTGAATATATAAAATATATCACTATATAGTTAAATATATATATACACACACGCGTGATATATGTCCATTCTTTTACATGTTCATATAATTAAATTGTAGGGTTCAAATTTTCTCTTATGTATAGCTATAATTATATTCTTAAAAAATTAAATTTGCTATGAGAAAACCCTCTAAGAAATATATATGTATGTATATATATATATATAGGGTTAATTGGTCCTTAATTTATTGTTTTGATTCCATGTGCATGGGATTTTGAGATTGTGTGGCTTTAATTTTTTTTTTTTTTTTGACATCAATATATACGATGGTAAGGATTCGAACCTACAATGAAAATAAATGTTTTAATTAGTTGAATTAAACTTTGGCCTTGTAATTTTAGAATCAGAAGTATATAATATTTAAAGACTAAAGATTTTTTAATTAAAATTAACATTAATTGTACATATTGGTTGGGTTATTTCTTAATTTATTATTTATTCATGGGTAAGTGTAACTTTTTTTTAGATCGGAAGTGGAGATTCAAATTTGTTTTAATAGAAATAGTACTTTAATCAATTGAGTTATATTAAGTTGGCATGGAAATGGTATGTTTTACTGGTAAAATTGGTATTTATTGGATTTTGGTCGGCAAAAAAGAGCAAATTTGTAGTGAAAAACTCATAGGATACGTTTTTATACAGGGTTGATATTATTTTATAAGGGGCATAGCTGGGAGTTTCATCATTTTAGAAAAAGAGTGAATTTTTTCTTTTGGCGAATGTATGAGATGTGTGTGATAATTAATTATATTTTTTAGGACATTAGTCTATGAAAAATGCTGAACTTTTGTATGTGTGTAGTGTACTATTAAATTTATATAGTCTTTAAATTAAGTGAAAAAATATTAGTTACCTTCAAACATATGATTTAATTTTACCAGCAATTTGAATGACACATTACACAAGGGCTTTCGAGAGACGGCCTCACTATCGTATGATGTATATTTACCAACAGTAATTCGAATGACATTACAAAAGGACTCCTAAGCAGCAGTCTATTGGTAAAGGGTATGAGGTATATTGTGGTATATATCGCCTACCATATATAAGACGATTTCATAAACTTTTGGATGAGCTTAATATATAAAATTCTTTATATCTCTTGAGTTGAGGCCTTGGGATGAGTGCAGATATTTCTTGATTATATAAGGGTAAAAAGTTATCAGATTTCAGATTAAAAAAAGAGAGAGAGAGATTACAAAAGAAAAAAATAATAATAAAACAAACTTGAGCTCTATTTAAACCTAACATAATTTACACACCAACGACATGAGCGTATTTAAGCGTTAATTGACATCTACTCCTTCTCTTTTAAGATCCGAGGTAATAACGACTCTCATTCTTCCAATTTGTTGTGTAGTTAAAAAAGAAAAGAAAAATCACTCTAAACCAATTATTTAATTGACATGAGCATAATTCAACGAGTCAAAACATTCAGAGATTAATTCATATCTTTGGGTACCCTTTAAAGTTTGAAAATCTCCATCCTATCATAAGAGTATACGACTCAATACTAACTACAGTAACTAGGGTTATAGCTAGATGTGCATGCACACTTAGCTTTATTTTTGTTCCAAAAATACCCCTTGAAGTTGAAAAAGAAATGGTTGAGAGTGGTCCATCTCCATCTCCATGGGATTGAGATTTTAATTCCCTAAAAAAAAATTTATATTCTTTCTGCTATCTTGCTTTCATACACACACTGTGACACATCTCCATCATCATCCCCCAATCTCTCACATTATAAAATTACACACAGCTCCCCTCACACCACACTTGAACAGTGAACAGAATTCCTACCCTTAATTCTGTCAAAATACAATATTATTAATTATTGTTATCATATTTATATTAGCATGAGCCAGTGGATAGTCCCAAACTGGGACAATAATCACCAAACAACTCCACAATCACAACAACAACAAGATGGTTTCAGCAACAGAAGATTCTCCTCCTCCCAATTTCTCAACCATTATAAACACCATCATCTGTAAGCACTTCTCTTCTCTGAGCCTTCCCTAGCTTTACTTACGGGATGTTCGGGAGTGATTTGTAACTACTAATTCTGAATACTTGTTCGAGGTCGATGGTTCAAATCTTCGCATAAATTATATGGGTTGTGTTAATGGGTGAATTTGCACTGTGATTGAGCAGGCCAAAATGGGAGGAAATGGAGGTGATGAGATGGGGGCAATCGTCGGAGGATACACTGGAGTCCATAGTCCAAAGTTCAGTGGCGAGGAAACGGGCACGGCCCAACAACACAGAATATTGTTGCAAAGATGAAACTTTGATGAGTTGGGATAATTCTTTTGAATCTCATCATCAGAACTTGAAAACCGAAAACTCCACTCAACAAGTACATGATGCCTCAGCCTCGGTATGTACTGTCTCATCTCCATGCAAACCACAGCCCTTAGCTTCCTTCTTATAAAGTTGTTATATTTTTAGTTTTTTTTTTAGTTTTAATTCGTTTGAATTATATTAATCAGGAGGAAGAAGATGATATGAAGGGGAAAATAGACGCCACCTGCTCAACTAGACCAGCTCCAGCGGCTGTTAATCATAATCATAATCACTCCGAGAGAGTAGGAATATTTTTGCACCAAATTAAAGTTTTTTTCTTTTTTTTTTTTGCTTAGTTACCTATTATGGATGGATAAACTATAAAGTTGCTGTTTTTTATTTTTATTTTTCTGTTTTTTGTAGAGACGAAGAGATCGAATAAACCAGAAGATGAAAGATCTGCAAAAGTTGGTGCCAAATGGGAGTAAGGTATGCCATTTATTGTGTTTGGGAAGCCTCAACATATGTAACCTTCAAACTAAAAAGGTTTGATTTTTTTTTTAAGAATACTAATCACAATTACGGGTTCAACCCATATACCATAAACTTGATTTATAAAGTGAATTGTATTTGGATCATACAAATGAATGAATTATAGAAATTTAGATCTCAACCAATTTAATTTGTGGTTTTATGAAAATTAATGTATAATCTAAAATTATGGTTTTCATTGATGGGATTAGCAAATTTGTAATGTACAATAACTAAAATTAATGCGTTATTATCTACGCCACAAATTCCATCGAAAAACCATATTTTGATTGAGCCTCAACTATATCATAATATTTAATTGATCTAAGTTCATGTAATTTGTGTGTTTTTTTCCCTTTCTTCAATCATTGAATTGAATGAAATCAAAACAAGCATGAAACGTAATGCTTGCATATTCATCCATCGGTCAAATGGGATATGCAATTATAGAATAATCGCTGGAGACTCAAATAATTGGATATATGGCAAGCATGACAATTTATATCTGCTAAAGGAAAGAGAGCTGAACAATAATCTTTTCATTTTACAGACGGATAGAGCTTCACTTTTGGATGACACGATTAAATACTTGAAGCAACTTCAAGCACAAGTTCAATTCATGTCCAGCATCAGAGCTTTGCCGCAGATGGGCATGCCTCTAGGAATACAGCAGCAGCTTCAAATGTCACTACTGGCTCGCCGCATGGGACTGCTTGATAGCGATTCAATGGCGGCTGCCCCTTGTGCTCCCTCTCCTCCTCTTCTGGTGCATTCCACCACCTCAACAACAAAGCCAAAAGTCAACCTCTCCACGTCTGCTTTCGTCCCTCCGACCGATCCTTTCTGCACTTTCCTGGCTCAAGTAAGTCGAACACAACTTAGGATTGCATCCTGAAATCAAAAAAAGAATAGTTTCAACCACATATTATAGGTCGGTTTTGGTGAATCCTACTAAAATTTATCTAGTTTAGTGGAATGTTGGATCTTTTGGTCCACTAGTTCCATCGATTTTTCGACATGAGTTTTTAATTTTCATTGAACCAAACCCACTTGCATCCTTAACACGAATCAAATAGCCGCCAATGACGATACTAAAGAGATATTCACTGAAGATCAGCTGATTCAAGATGCAAACTTTCAGTTTTCTCCTCCATTGAAAGTTTCTATTTTTGTTGCAGCAATCAATGAATATGGACCTGTACAGTAAGATGGTGACACTGTATTGCCAAGAAGTGAACAAGACACCGAGGCAGCAAGCAAGCAAAGTAATCCAATCACATCGTATAGAAGCAATCAAGGAGGATATGCATTAGAGCTACCCAAAAGAAGCTCCAGCATGGGCTGAAACCAACAAAAAGTAGTTTTAGTTGAATAGTTAGTTAGATCTGCCTCATCTCGACCAAAAGTTCAAGCTTTCTCCTAGTAATTTTGGTTGATGGAAATGACATATTCTAATGTTTAAGTTTATTTATCTTTCCCTCTAGAATTCTAAAAATCGCTATTCGAAAGCCTAAGAAGTCAACTTGATAGGAAAAACCAGAATGTTGTAGAAGCTAATATCAAATCATTGGCATTTTATCTCATCTTCCTGACTAAGACCCAAAATTAGTTACACTCAAAGACTCATCTAGAGGACTTTAATCGTTGAGTGGCATCTTTTACAAGACCCAAATTTCATTTATCAAAGGAAACTTAAAAAAAAAAAAAAAGAATTTAGCTCTTTGAGCTAACTTTTAGCCCTCTAATTTAATGCGGATATCCACCTGTCCCAAAATAACGTACATGTGGCTACTGAACTATATTTCTTTGCAAAGCTCCAAACTACGTGTTGAGGTATTGGAAGTATTCGGCGAATTGGAAGAAATACACTAAAAAAGAGTACCCGTACCATGCTAAACTTAGCTTAAGGAAACCACTTCCGTCAATGAATATCCTGAAGTGAATTCACAGCATCTAAGTAGAGAATATGGGTCTTAAATCTCAGAAGCAAGCCACCAACTCCCATCTCTTTGTTGACACTTGACAGGATTGAGGTCAGAGAGCTGTGTTTTTCTTGATGCTTCATTAAATTAATTCAAGTAGACCTCCCCAATTGGTCAGAATCCTACGGAGTAATACATAGGTAGAGTGAATCCTGCGAAAACAGAACTGAATGACGACTCCTTCAGCTTATTCTCTTCCATTGGCTTTCAAACATTGATGGAATCTATTTCCCATGCTCCATAGTTTATTAGAATTTCAGAATTGAAATGGGGTTCTATAAAACATCAGAAACTAGTAAATGTACCATTTTGTTTGGTCAAAGGGGGAATGGATTGCAATTCTTTCTCGGACACATCAACTATATATGGCGGCTTGAACCATGGCTGAGCAGTGTTGAAGAGCTTTGGCCACCGAATTTCAGAATTTTTCTTCATTTCCACAGAAACCATTAATCTCGTGCTCAGCTCCGGATCCAAATGATTTGCGTGATTCCCACCGAGGACAAGCAATAAATGCTGGAAAAGTAGTTCTAACACGTTCACTTTGTCACCAATAGTCTCGGCATGAACAAAAACCTTCCGAGAAATGATGGAAACGGTTTCTGTCTCTCACAACAATAAATCTTTTATAAACAAGTGATGCAACCTTGAAAAACTCGTGGCAATCCAAGCAAATTCTCAGATTTTTCACTATCCTTAGGGCGCAATCTAAAGGAGAATTTAAGAGACCAAAAGCTAAAGCAAGTTTCTCACTGTGGTACATCACACAATGTTCTTTCTCTTCTTCCTCAATATCAAACAAAGCCATTCCGGTGCCTGTAATGTAACCATTTGCTTTCAATTTCTCGATCACATTGTCCAACTGCTTATATATTGCATCAAATTCTGGTTTTCTGTCATTTGATGCAGCGAACTCATAAACTACATTCTTTATTTCAATTGAACTGCAACCAGGGACTTTTCCGATCCCCCTAAGACTCATCATTCCTCTCAGCTTCCCTACTTCAATCCACCGCCGCTCCCTTGAATATAGATTTGACAGCAATACATAATTCTCGCCATTGTTCGGTTCTAGATCTATAAGTCTTCTGATAGCATATTCACCCAACTTTGTATTTCCATGAACTCGGCAAGCACAAAGCAGAGCCCTCCAAATGATAGGATCCGGCTCCATGCTCATGGATTGGATCAACTCTAGAGCTTCCTCCAACAACCCCGCTCGACCGAGTAGGTCAACCATACACCCATAATGCTCAATCCTTGGTCGCAGTCCAAAGTGTTGTTTCATGCTCACAAATTGCCTGCGCCCTTCAGTGACCAGACCTTGATGACAACAGGCACACAAGACACCTAGAAAGGTAACCTCATCAGGCTTGAAATTTTCCCTCAACATCATAGAAAAAGCCTGCAAAGCCTCGTCACCTTGTCCATTCATGGCGTATCCAGAAATCAAGACATTCCACGTATAGACATTCTTCTCTCTAATTTCTTCAAAGACCTTCTCCGCCTCCTCAACAGCCCCACATTTAGCATACATATCAATAAGTGCCGTGCCCACAAACACGTTCAGCCTCAACTTGTTCTGATATATAAACTCATGGATCCACGTTCCCTGGTTCAAAGCTCCCAAGTGTGAACAAGCAGATAGAACCACCACCACGGTTCTCTCGCTCGGTTCAGCCCCAGCTGCCAGCATTCCTCGGAAAGCATTGATAGCTTCCATGAACTTCCTATTATGGGTATAACCAGTAATCAGAGCATTCCAAGTAACAGAGTTTCTCTCGGGCATTTCGTCGAACAGCTGATAAGCATCCGATATAGACAAGCAAGTGCAATACATATGAACTAGAGCCGTGCTTGTGTACACATCACGAATAAACCCCATCTGAATTACAGTACCATGTATCATTTTTCCAAGTTCAACGTTACATGATCGTGCAGTCGCTTTAATAACGGCCGGAAAAGTGGAAGAATCGGGCAGAATGCTAAATTTATGCATGTGGGCAAAAATGAGGAGTGAATTCAAGTGCTTATTCGAATCCAAATAACCCCTGATCATCCAGTTACACAGCTGACAATTAATAACCCCACGAAACTTGGAGAAAATAGGAGCAATAGATTCGAACCCGTCATGCGAAACAGAGTCGTCTATGAGTTTCATGAGGAAATAGCCGTCGCTCCGCATGTCATTGCCTTCCTTGCGAACGACGTCCATGTAATCAGGAATCTTCCTCTCGTTAGTGCTCTGTGGCGGAAGATTCATCGTCAACTGGGTATGCATAAATTTCGAAATTTGTGATTGGTTCGCTAAAAAAGCCGAGTTCGAGATTGTACAGATATCTTGGAGCCGAGCTCTTCGAATTAATCTAAATGACATTTCAATTTGTTCAACAATTGGAGCCAGCGAGCCGGCGAAGGAGAGCGACTGTTCTCTACCACTTTCCACAGCAGCCGAAACTATTAGGTTGGGTTCCCTCCCCTGGCTGAACTTCCGGAGTGAGACGCTCATATTTTTATTGAATGAAAATTAGTAATTAACAGGAAATTATAAATAAAAGTAAAGTATGACTAAATACATTTATTAACTATAATTTTAAGGAAAAGTTCAATTTTTTATATATAAACAAACGTATTGTTGTTATTATTATTATTTAGTTAGGAAAAATAACATATATTTCATCTCGAATATGAATATCTAACGAATAATGTCTCAAAAAATTAGAAGACTATTGAATTGAAATATACCATAGGATAAGTATAAAATACAATATTACAAGAAAACGTCCCTGTAACATGAGTCACTTGATATTAAAAATACGTAAATATCATTAATTTTACTAATATTTTATGTACAAATTGATATTATAAAAATTACACAACTTTTTTTTTTTACATAATACGCAACTATTAAGTCTATAATTTTATAGGGCAGCATGAACTTGACTTAATAGGTTAAGGCATGTATTAAATATAATCTTATATGTATCTACGCACATTTATTTATTTATTTTTCACAATACAATTGGGTTGGGGTGAATTAAGAGATTTTGAACTATCGACGAATTCTTCACTCCGTTCAATTTTTATCAATATTTTGATAATCTAGTTATTGGTAGGTTTAAATCCTATTGTTATCTATATACTTTTGTTTGTTTATTTTTTATCTATGTACTTTAAAATTTATCATTTTGGTTGTTATAGTTTTGAAAAGTGAGCATTTTATTATTTATTTAAAAAAAGAAAAATTAATACAAATTTTATATACAAGGAAACTCTCTAATACAAAGCTATGACTATATTTCAAGCGATTCATTGAGTATACTATATATATATCAAAATAAACGTTTTAAAAATAAATAGATTAAAATAGATAAAAGATAAAAGTACAGGGCTAAAAAGAGACGTTTTAAGGTTATAAGGACTAAAATGAAAAAAAAACTGAAATTATATGAATTAAAATATAGTATATTAAAGCTTTATTGTTTTGTATTGTATATAAATGCTGTTTTCTACTCATCAATCATGGAAAATCCGTAGTTTACATACATTTGGAGAATTATTCCATGGCAAATGATGACAAAAATGATAACTTTGGAGAATATAGAAAAGGATATGCATAAGTTGCAAAGACAAATTAGAAAATTGACAAGTAGGTAGCTAGCAGACAAAAGTGCTCAATTAAATCCACAAACTCCAAGTACTACTTGGAAATTAAAGTTGTTTGTAACTGGGGACCCATTATTACATTACATATCAAAATAATCGAGGAAGCCCCAACCGATGACTTCAACTTCATGTAATGCTCAATGCTTTTTCTTTTATTATTATTGAATGAAGGATCTTTACAATTGTAATGAGTGAAATCCGTAGATACAACAATCTATACATATCTTTTATGGCAAAATATAATCTTATAATGAAGAAAACTAGAGTGATATATTATAATAATTGTTATTATTTGTGAATATTTTGGAAAACGATATATGAGAAACAAAGAAATAGTTATAAAGAGTGTAAATATTTTCTCTAAAAAGAAATTAAATCTTATGTTAGTTGAATAAATTTGGGCCGGACAAGGAATCAAAGCTTCGATTTTTATAATAAAGTAAAATGACTTTAAAAACGTCTATTTTTCATTACTTATTATTTCACCCAGCAATATCTATCTCCTAGTAGGTCGTCTCAATACACATGTTCATTGCCATATCATCTATTTGGTTAGATACTTAATAATAAAATAACTACAAAAACTCTTTTTTCTTTTTGTTTTTTAGTTCATGAGAATATAAAATAAATTTTCTCTATATATTTTTTCTTCTTTTTCCGTATTAAATTTGAATGCAGATTGTTATGTGTTGTTGAACTAAAACATATATATGGCCCACCTAATGAAAATTTTTTGGAAGATGAAGAATAAGAATAAAGAAAAATAGAATTGTATGATCCAACATCCATGAATTCAAGGTTGATCCAATAATATTTAGATTTATGTTTTTGTAACAAATTAGAAACGAAAAGAACCAACAGAAAACATATTTTGATTGTTTTCAAAATTTCTATACAATTTTGAAGATGGAAAAGACTTCCTTCTTAACACTATTAAATATTTGACAAGTCATTATTTTTCTAATTTTTTTTTTATTTTTACATTTATCTTTCTTAGTCGTCAAATGTTTAATGGTTCTTCCCAAGTTTTTTTCCTTTGAAGATATGTTTCGTATGACTGAAAAACAAGAAACATAATTAGTTTTTTAAAAACTTAAATTTCTTAATAATAAAATTTCGGGAACGTCGACAAATAATCTAACGTGAAGTTTTGTGAAGAGGAGGAATGATCGTCAAAATGAAATAATCCCAAAGGTAATAAGGACGAACGAACATAGAAATTGACCAAATTTAGAAACATTAGAACAAGCCATAGCCATAGCCATAGCCATAGCCCATAGGAATTCTAATCAAACTGACAGGTCAGTTGAAGTATCAAAGAGCGAGTAGAAAAGAAGAGATGGAGGGCGCGCGAAAGTCATGGGAGCGCGCGGGGGAAGGCGGCGACTGGGTACTTGTTGGCATTTTTGACGATCTTGGAGAGGGCGGCGTGGGGGAGATCGAGGCCGCAGACATCGGCGAGACGCACCAAATAAAGCAACACATCCGACACCTCTTCTTCCAAATGCTCTCTCTCCACCGCGCTCCAGTTGGGCAGCCCCCTCTCCACCTCCCCCTTCCACTGGAATATCTCCGACAGCTCCCCCACCTCTCCCACCTGCAACCAACACACCAATTTTGTTTCAATCCAAATTATTATTCCACGGATCCAGTTGCGTTGTTCATTGATTAATTCATTTAAATAATTACAAGTGCCAGGAGCAGGTTTCTAGGGCTGTGGTATTGCTCCCATCCTCGCACTCGGGCGAACTCTGCAACCATGTCTCTGAGCTCTTGGAGCGACACGTCTTTGGCTGGTTTCTCAGGTTCCATTTCTCTCTCCCTGATCTCTTTTTCTCTGGTTTTGTTGTGATCTCTGCTTTCATTTATAGACGTCGATCGATCGAGAGAGAGAGAGAGAGGGGGGTTTTTTACTTTATGATGAATTGATGATGATACATACTTGATAGTGGGAGGTGCACTTGAGGTGTTTGATAAAAAGCAAAAATAGTCATTTTGGGCATGTGAAGTGTGGGATAGAATGTTTCCATCTTTTCTTTCGTCCACTTCGAAGCCTCTTTGTTGTGCAATCGGAACTGTTTTCGAATTTTGAAAACAGTATATTTTCAATATCTTTAGATTTTGAATTTGAAATTTAAGGTCCGTGGTTAGACTATTACTACCATCCGACATCTCTTAAAGTCTATGATGCAATTATCTACCCACATAATTAATTAAAAAGGAAAATCATCTTTCTCAATTTCATAAATAAATGTTAATACATGTATAGCTTATCGATTAAAACATCTAATTTATTTTTAGAAGTTGGAGTAGAAATTAGAAGTTGAACAGCGATCCTGTTAAAAAAATATGAAGAAAGGAGAGAAGTGATATGTGGGGAGTGGATAGAGAAACTGTAGAACGTAAACGCTATACAAATCCCGGAAATTGCGATGGAAGTGTGCGAAATTTGATGACAAATCTTGAAGTTTGCGAGAAAACGACGAGAGCAGACAAATTCAGAATATATTTTCTCTCTCACTTTTGCATCACCCAAAACACCACTTTTTCTTCCATTTCATCATCCTCTATCTCCCCAGCCAGCCATGCGCTGCGCTTTGCTCATTTTGTTCCTTTTTCCCACTTATTTCTCTGCAGCCAAAATTTCAGTTAGAATTCTAAAAGCTAGGTTACGACACAAAATACCGTTAACTATTAGTAAAAAATATAAAGTAAGCTTTTAATTTTGCAGATAGTTTTTTTCTCATTTCTGATCAATTTTTATCTGCTTTTACAGATATTTATATATGCAAACTAATATTTAATTGTCATTGTTACACTCATAAAGGTAATTCATTGGACGAGATTAGAAAAAATGTGGAAGGAGAGAAAAGATATAGAATGACCTTTGACTTGTAATGTAGAAATAAAGTTGCTCACAATTTGGCTGGATCAATACTGGAATCAGACTCTTTTTACCTTGAGGCAGGGCATAGGTAAGAAAGGAGTATAGGAATTCAGACCACCGCTATAATGATATTGTCTACTTTGAACATAAATCCCCATAACTTTTGCTTTTGGTATCACCTAAAATGTTTCATATTTATGGAGATTTTGTCCTTCACTTATATATATAAGTTCTTCTTGTTATCTAGACAATGTGAGACTTTCATCGTTTTTCCAACAATTATTCACTCGGACAAAGGACTATCGAGTCCCTCAATAATTATCCCTCTGTGTCTTGTAATGAGCATGTCATCTTTAACCAGGCGTCACTTCCTTCTTCACTGGAGCATTTTACCGGTTAGAAATTATTCAACCACGAATTTTTCAAGGCTCACCACTTTGCTTGGCACCAAGAGGATTTTACCCACATGGGCTAAGTAAATGGTGTAGGTATGATTCCAATTATTAAGGACATGGAACCATTCCTCCATATTATATGATATTGAGTACATCACCTTTTAACTAAGCGCAACTCCTTCTCATCGAAGCATTTTGGCTATCTAATAGTTCAACCATAGATTACCTTGTGACTACATCTTCTAAGGCGTGCCACTTTGTTAAGCATCCGAAGGATTCTACCGATAGGCTATAATACTACTTTGTTGGGTTCGTAAAAGGTGCAAACAAAGTCTCACATAGTATATGATATTCTCCATTTAAAGTATAAGCACTTTGCTTTTGGCACCACCCAAAATGCCTCAGGTATGGATGTTGTCTCTAACTTGATACCTAAGATCTTCTCCTTATCTAGATATGTGGGGCTTTCGTCGCATTTTCAACGAGGAGGAGACACAGACAATTGCTCCCTCTTAATTTATCGTAATTCTATAATAAAAATGTCTGTAGTTTTCTTTTAATTTACCCCTAATTTTTAGAATTGAAAGATGGTGCGTACATCAATTAGATGTACCGTAGAATTTTGGCCTCGGGAGGGGTTAGTAAGAGTCTAGTTTTTATTTTCTTTGAACTAAAAAATTAATTCAATAATTTTTATTTCCCAACTTCAAAATTTGCTATCTGAAAATATAAATTAAAAAAAAAAGCATAGTTATCGAGAATAGAGTTAAATGTTGCTGATTGTAATGCAGAAAATGGGAGTTGAGGAAATGTTTCACAAATAATGTGTATGTAAATGGATAACCAATTATTGCTTTCTAGTGCTGTGGGGTTATTTCATAAAATAATAAATTCATAAATTCATAATTTTTTTGCCCTTTAATCACTCTTTGATTAATTTTCCTAATCTCTCTCTCTAGCGTAGCTTAGACCATATCCATTTAGGGAAAGACAATGTTCATAAATAGTTATTTGCTATTAATAAAAGGGGTAGAAATAAATAAAAAGGGTATATCTTGACTAATTTACTTATATTTATGTCAAATCAAGCATAGCAAGTGGTTACGGCACCTATCTCTTCGAACCCTCATCCCACATATTGTGTATCCAAAAAAAAAATTGCTTATATTTTTCTTTGATTATTAGTCTTATTATCATCTTATTTTCCTTTTATCTTCTGCAAATTTTCACATCTTGATCTTACTAGGCCACAACTTTCTTTTTAAATTTTAAAATTATTTGTGATCTTAATATAGATTCGAAGAGTTCTTCTCAAAATTAAATTTGAGGGTCGTGTCTTATTTAATATGAAAATATTTTATTATGAAGAATGTAGATGGTAAACACTAAATTTGAAATTAAGAGAAAAAAGGACTCTAATGATTAAAGAAACCGATGAAGATAAGAGGAAAAAGAAAAAAGAAAAATTGCCCACATTATGCCTTTCCATAATAAGTAATCTTTTTGTTTTTTCTGTTTCATTTTTCAACTTTAGAATAAAATTTTCTTTTTATTTTTAGTCACATCTCCAATAAGATTCAATGCGGTAATGATGTACATATTTGCCACTAGGACTTTAATGGAAAAATAAAATGATATTGTCATTTAATTAAAAAAAAAAAGGCTCTTTTAACCCTCTAATTATTTAAATTCTCCCCAACCAATAAAATTAAGTTATTTGAACTGCCCTTTGTTATGATATCTTTAATAATATTTTGGAATGGGTTGAACTGAGGATATTACGATGATAGATCTCTACTAATTTTTATTACCTATTTTATTTAATAAAAAATAGTTGTAATAAAGCTATGGTACAAAACTTGAATATAAATGGGGATAAGGTTCATAAATCGTGCTAAAGAAAGTAAATTAAGTGTCGTTTGGATGTTGATTTTTAGTAATTTTGTATTTTTTAGAACAAAAATTCAATTATAAAAAAGATGCTTGTATAACTGTTTTAAATTTTTTTTAAAATGTTTTTTTAGTGCATTTTCACGCATGGCCTATTTTTTAAAATTAGTTAATAGTTACTCAAAAATAAATTTAATTTTCATTAAAAAAATCCCAATTAAATTGCATGACTTATCAACCATTGTCAATGAGACACACGGCAGCTGAGAGTTGTACTCAGTCACTTGGGTCTATGAAATGAAGCATAAAATTTTGGGAAAATGGCATCAATTCTCTTGCAAATCAGAAAATTGACACCAAAATCTATCAAAGATTTGGGATATTTCTGACATCTCACCATTATAAGACTTGTGGTTTCTTCATGTCGTATTTAAGTGCAACATAATCTTCAATTAGGCGACAAAATTCACTCCCAATCACTTTCACATAGGAACCAAAATTTATCGACATAATAATAGCAAATCTGAACATAGTTCAATTAGTTGAAACATCTGTCTCTAATCAGAAGATCGTGAGTTTGAACCTTCAGTCCCACATGTTTATACTTTACATAAAAATCATAGGAGAATAAATCTAGTCTCAAAATTTATATGAAAAGTTATATTATGGAAAAGGGTTACTTCAAAAGTTTTAATCAATAATCTCATTATGTTTATTGAAGTAAGATCGAATCATATTGTTTTTTATGTATGGCAAAGAGTAAGGGGAAAAAACATTAGAGTTTTGAGTTATGTCATGTCAGAATTTACCTATTGATTCACCAATCTTATCTTGCATCGTATAAAACTCAACCAAATATAATATATATATATATATATATATATATCAACCTAACATCACTAATATATATATATAATGGAAATATTAATAATTTGTAACTTATTTAAAAAAAAAGTGAAATGTTTATTACTTAATTAAAATATCTTTTAAAGAATTTTTCATTTTTATAATTTTTCATAAATATCCATCAACATCAATATTCTATTGATATTAATATCGGCATCGACATTTTCATTGAGATATAAAAATTTTCATTGAAGTCAACATTTAACCGTGGATGCAAAAAACTACTCTCTCTCTCTTGACATTTCAACTGTAAGCATTTTCTTAATGGGCCTTGAGTACAGCACAGCATCCACCTACTTGATGGGCTTGTATGGCCCAATAAAAGTTTTGAAAGTTTGAATTCACCCGACAAAAGCAGAAAATTAGCCCATTTTCATCCATCTTTTTTTCCTTTTTCTTTGCAAAGGTAAAAACATATATTTCAGCCATCTTTTTCCCAACTAATCTGCTGCTAAGTTGTTCAAATGGCAGTTTCATCCATCACTTCATTCCGAATGAGATATTTTATTGAACAAACTTGGGCCATATGCAGCACATCTCAGTGGTTATTCAACTAAGAAAAAAGAACAAAAAAAAAACAACAGAACAAAGAAAAAACAGAGCAATTATTTGTCTTTCTTTCAACATTTTTGTGAATGATGAATGTTTTTGTTTACAATATGAATGGTAACAAATTGAAGTGTGTAGGTATCCTATCAGTATCTTATGTCTCTATGAAACTATGTAACAACCTAAGCATATGCACATTTCTTTCAATCAAAATCCTGAGATCACAAGGATGGAGGGGAGAAGCTACAGCTGAATTCATCCCCTCTTAACCCTGTGATGTTGATCAACATAGCTAGAACTTCCTTCATGTTCGGTCTCGCCGCAGGTGCTTCGTTCGTGCACTTCACCCCGATCCTCAGCAGCTCGCACATCTCCTCGGCCCCCTCGGCGAGGCCCGACCCCAAAACTGCTACTGGTATCACTGCTCTACTCAACCCTTTTCTTCCATCTCCCATCACCCTTTTTGCCCATTCAACTAGACACTCTTCCCCTCCGTCGAGTGCTCGTCTTGCTGTAGCAAGTTCCATCGCCAAAACTCCAAAGCTGTACACGTCGCCTTTCGTTGTAGCTTTCCATGTCTGTCCATACTCGGGTGCCACATAACCGATGGTTCCAGCCACCATGGTACTCACATGGCTGTCTCCTACATCCATAATTCTAGCTAGGCCGAAATCTGTCACCCGTCCCCGACCATCTTTATCGAGCAGGACATTGCTGGCTTTGACATCACGATGCACAACAGAAGGAAAACACTCATGGTGCAGAAAGACCAATGCTCGTGCCACATCGATTGCAAGATCAATCCGTCGCCGCCAGTTTAATCTCACTCTGTCTAGTATGAGATCCTCCAGGCTCCCTCCTTCCATGTACTCGTATACCAAAATCTTATTCGAACCGTCGAGACACCATCCGTAAAGCTGAACGAGATTCAGATGCGGCCAATTGAAGCCATTTCCAGTAAGAATATGCATTTCAGCTTGGAACTCTCTTTCACCTTCAATTCCTTCTCTTTGGAGCTTCTTCACTGCCACTTGCCTTCCATCAGGCAACACTCCTCTGTAAACTGTTCCATATCCTCCCTTACCAATCACTCTGTCCTCTGAAAAGTTTCCAGTGGCTTTTAGAATATCAGCATGCGTAAAAACTGTTTTGTCAAGTCGAATGATCGTAACTGAATTCGAATACCATGGAGACGAGCTGTGAGAACTTGAACCGAAGTCTTTTACATACTTTATATCTTCCAGGAGGTATCCTGGTGATTCATCTGGGCTTCTCATCACCAAGCAAACTATAAGAGAAAACATCCCAAATACCATAAAAGCAAGGACCATTGATAAGAAAGCCAACACTCCAATCAGCGGCCTTGATTTCCCTTTCGAAGTTCCTCCGATTCTCGGGTACCCCGGTGACTTTGGCGGGGTTGTGTTGAGGAACGATGGAAGGCGCAACAGAGGATTGCCGAGGTATGAGTCCTTCTCGAATGTCGAAAATTGTCCGCTTGGATTCACCTCCCCTGTTATAAGAGGATTGTATGAGATGTTGAACTTGTTAAGCTCATTCAAGTTGGTCAAACTTCTAGGGAAGATGCCTGAGAAGTTGTTGTATGATAAATCTAGATTCTGCAGACACCTGATRTTTCCAATCTCGGTCGGGATCTCGCCYGAAAAACTGTTCTCTGATACATTTAGAACAACCAGTGGCAGATTACCCAACTCTGGAGGGAGTTTCCCACTGAAGTTGTTACAACTTAAATGCAACATACTGAAGTTCTTCAATTTCCCAATCTCAWTTGGTATCTCACCAYTGAACTGATTCCCACTTAGTTGAACATAACCAGAGATTTGCAAAGTCCYAACTTTGCTRCAAAATGGGAAAAGTCCATACCCTTTCAATAGCCTATCCCAARTGCTTCTACAACTCTTCCTTGTGAGAATTGTGTAGACAAAGCTGAAAGGAGGGTAGTTTGCYGGGATCCATCTCTTCATTGCCAAGCACTCCCCCGACCCGGCRATGAACTTYTYGWTTCGTCGATTYGMTTCGAACGTGGYCRTGGCRTTTCTTCCGATGCTCATTAGCTCAGACGGGATCGGSCCGGATAGCTGATTGTTGGCAAGATTAAGCCACAGCAAGCTAGAACARTTCCCCAACTCYTTAGGAATYTCACCTGTTAAAGAGTTGTTTGCCAGCATTAGCCACAARAGTGAAGTCAAGTTCCCAAAACTGCTTGGGATTGACCCATTTAAGGTGTTGAACGAGAGATCAAGTGCTTGAAGATTTGGCAAATTCCCGTATTCTGAAGGAATGCTTCCATGGAACTGATTATAGGCAAGAATTAAGAACTCTAAACTCTTCAATTCAGAGATTTCGACAGGCAATGGGCCTGAAAAGTTGTTGTAACTCAAGTCCAAACGAGCAATTCTCGGCAGTTTAAGAATCCCAGAAGAATAAATCCCTCCAGTGTAATAATTCCCATGAAGAACAAGAAATTTCAACTGTGTAAATTTCCCAAAAATTTCTTGAATCTCTCCCCGGAAGCTGTTCTTGCTCAAATCAAGAAACACCAAATTGCTCAAATTCAAAAGGGATTCAGGGATTTCCCGAGAAAAATTGTTCTTCCCCAGATACAAATTTTGCAGACTCGAAATTGTTCCAATTTCCGGCGGAATTTTCCCGGAAAATTTGTTCCCCCATAGATTCAAAGAAGACAAATTCCCACAATTAGAAACCTCCCAGGGAACTCCGCCGTCGAATTCATTCTCCGACAGGTCCAACACCTCCAAATTACAAAACCCTGTAAATATCACCGGCGAGACCTCGCCGGAAAGTTTATTCTCTGACGCCGAAAACACACGGGTCCTCGCCAATCCAGACCACAACCCGCCGCTAAATCCGTTGGAGCTCAAATCCACAGACTGCAAATTCCGGCACTCCTCGAAACAGTCATCCGTCCGACCAGTAAAATTATTACCAGAAACATTAAAGAACACCAAATTCCCGCAAATTCCCGGAAAGTTCACCGTTATTTCTCCCCAAATCCGGTTGACCGACAGGTCCAAAGTCTCGATATTGACCAACCCAGAAAAATTCAACCTGTCGTCGAGGATGTTGTGGGAAAGATTCAGCTGCCGGAGATTTCTGCAGTTGTTCAAGTCGCCGGGAATTGGGCCGGAGAGAGTGTTCGTGGAGAGGTCGAGGTGGGTCAGCTCCGACAAGGCAGAGAAATTGTGGAAAATCTGGCCGGAGATGTCTTCATTGGAGAGGTCAATTCCGATGATTCGGGAATTTCTTTGATTGCAGGATATACCCGACCAAGAACAGGGGGAGCTCTGTAAATCCCAGAACGAATATTTTCCTCGTTTAACGGGATTGTGTTCTTCCAGAAAAGATTTCAACTGTAACAAAACTTCTCTGTCTCTCCGTAAATCTTGTCCCTCGACAACCGTACCTAAAAAAAAATAAGAAACTGATTCAATCCGACCAGACCCATCTCGGAAAAAACGCAGAATTTATTACAGACAGCAAAAAAAGAAAAAATAAAAAACTGAAACTTGTTTGAAAATTAGGATACCCAGTTGGGAAAATCACAAGTGGTTGAGGAATAGAGGCGATTTTTGTTACCTGTGATCAAGGTGAAGAAAATGATCAACGGAATACGCCATGAGTGATCAGTGTCTCTGTCCTTCATAATCTACTATGATTTTTGTTTCTCGGGATAATTAAGTTGGAAAATTTTGTCAGATTAAAGCCATGGGAAGGAGAAGAATGATGATTAATATGAATATTGGAACGTAAACGAATTGGCCTTTGAAGCACACGCAGCAGCGCCTGCAGAAGACCAAAGAAAAGTTTGAAAAAGAAGAAGGAAAAAAGTGGCTGTGAAACTCAAAATTGAATAAAAAATTTTGAACAAGAGGAAAAAAATGTGTGTGGAAAAAACTT